CACGCCAGTTGTAAGCTTAAGCAAGCCCGGGGCCTTAGTCAATAAAAATGATATGTTCAAGGATATTACCATGATATTTGGAGTTCATTGTAAAAATACAAGTCCCTACATGACCATAGAGAGACAGAAACCTATCTTAATAATCACTGTATGTGTCCATGTCTCCTATTTGACCTGTCCCCTGATATATCTGCATTCCTTGCTAGAACTAGAATTCAGTTTCAAGTTGTAAGGTATATCAACTCAGCCCTTAAGGCACTCACCTAAATCCAGATTGCCATCTCTTTTTCCATCAATGGCCCCTCTTCCTGGTATCTGCTCATCTTCATATCATTCCCTGAATTCACACTAATGGATGCCACTGGCCTAAATCTGGCCACTTTTTGCCTTCAAAAATGGATCTTTTCTGAAAACTCCTATATCAGTCAGAGTAGGCAACGTTATGTTGTGACAATAAATAACCTCAAAATCTCAGAGGCGTAAAACAATGAAAGTTTGCTTGTCATTATTCTATGATAGGTCAGTAGGGGAGATTTGCCCATCTTAGGGAACCTAGACTGATAGAATCTCTGTCTTGACACAAGCTTCCACAACTTACATGACAGAGGGAAGAAAACTTGGCAAATCCCACTTGTCCAATAATGGCATATATAACTTCTACTTACATTCTATTGAGTGAAGGGGGTCACATGGACACACTCAAGTTTAGGTCATAGAAAGTGAGTTCCACTATGTGCCTAAAAAGGAGTGGAACTGGAAGAGAGTAAACAGCCATAATGACAACCAAGCCCCTATTCCTCTCTCTCTCCACCCCAATGAGCCATAGTCCAGATAGCCTCAAGATGCCAGGGTGCTCACATGTGAGGTTCCACATCCTCTGATAAGTTCTCTTGGAAGAGACGGCAGATAGACGAGACAGAATTTTCTTATCTTAAGTGTTGCATTAGTAACAGAACTTTCATAATATCCTATTTTTGTTTTCTTCAGAAGCGGGACCCAGATCTGTAGCAATCCTTGTATATAGGCAAATATAAGAGTGGAATATAAGCCAAGTGTGGGCAAAGACCAGGGATACTTGTAGGTAGCAGAGAAGACAGGTCTGACTATGCCAAAAATGGATACTCTTATCTATCATGCTGTATAAATAAAAGAGAATATTTCATGCTGTTAAGCATTGTATCTCCACTAATACAACAAAAATTGAAAGTCATATTTTTCATTCTTTCAATAGGAATAATTTCAAAGAGTGCCTGGAAGAACATAATTGATAATACCATGAACTCTCAAGTAACAGTAAAATGTAGATTTATGTAAACCAACACAAATATCTACATTCACTTTTATCTTAGATGGGCAGTTGCTATGTAACCCCTTATCACCTACCTCTCTTATCCATGCCCCGTAATATTTGAATTAAATAATATCTTGAAAGGATCATGAAGGTGGTGATTTAGAAAGTCATGGATATCAATCACATTTGGAAAACACATGCTCCAAATTTTTATTTTATTTTGTAATTTAGATAATAATGTGGTTTATCCTTCCACCTCATTCATGAAATATTACCTGAAATCACATAGATATAAGCAGGAATTGTCGTGTTGTTGTTATTAGCTGCTCTCAAAACAATTCTGACTCATGGTGACTTTACACACAACAGAACAGAAGATTGCAGTCTAGTGTCATCCTCACAACTGCCAGCAAGCCCCAATCTATTATTATGACTATTGTTGATTGATTCCTCCTGATAATGTGTCCAAAGGGAAGGAATTGGATAATATTCTGCATGTCCCATAAGGTTTTCATTGGCTAATTTTCAGAAGTACATGACCAGGGTTTTCTTCCTAGTCTATCTTACTCCGGAAGCTCTGATGAAACCTTTCCACTATGGGTAAACTTGCTGGTATTTGAAATACTAATGACATAGCTTCCTTCATTACAGCAATATGAAAGCCATCACAATATGGCAAATCAACAGACAGGGGATGAGAACAGGGATTAGAATTGATAAATGAATAAAATCATGGTCTAGCCTACCCCAGACAAGCTCTCCAACTGTCTCCTCATTCTTACATCCAGTAACAGCTGACCCAATACCCATTAACAACTAACTGCAACTTGCTCTTCCTTTAATTTCTCTTTATTGGACCTGGCTTCCTAAACTGTTCCTCATGTTTTGCACTCTTCATTATTTTTTTCATCTCTTGATCACCCATGAATGCTTCAAGCTGGACATGTAGCTGACCCCTGAATTTGCTTCATGACTATAATTTGTTCCCTTGCTGAGGATTACACTGCTGCTAGATACTGTGGATAAACATTCTCTAGGTGCATGCCTGTCATGATCCACCTGACTGACATTTCTGACAGGTTCCATTCCCTGTTCTTCATCAACCAGAACCAAACACAAACACCTCAGAAATTATTTCTTACCCAAAATGTCGTTTCACACCAATGGAAAACCACAACATTATCTCTCCTAATGTCATTCTGTCTGCTGCTTTCATTTTTAATGGTGACATTTATGTTTTGTGGAATAATTCTCTTTGCAAAACTGCCAGCTAAAAATGTGATCCAAACCCTAAATTTACAGAACACCAAAATAGACAGCCATGAATTCCTCATGAGGGATTTTTGGAGCTCTCCTCACCCTCAGTTCTCCAGATACAAATAATTCTGCAAACCGGGTGCCTAAATGTATCTTAAAATGCCCATCCTACGTGCAGATTTCTTACATGAACATACAGAAATAAAAAGTGGAGGTAACTCTTCATGTAAGCATAACACTCTCTTTGCAACTGCTGACAAATGCCTTCAATAAATTCTCTCTATGGTCAGAATCAGAAATCTTTGTGAAGACAGAAATGTACACATAAAATCCACTGCACTATAGCTCCCTGGACACCCAGAAACAGACTACTTTATCCAGTCCAGCTATTAGAGACTGTAGTCCCCCAAGCCACCCAGCACTGTTCTGAAATTCCAGGACCTGACTATTAGTAACTTTGACTATAGCTCCCTGGCCACCCATCACTCCTATTCTCCTTCCTTCTTGAACTGAAGACTGTTCCAACATTTATGACCTGTGAGGAGTTCACATTTAAGGCAGGTATTGACGAACTCCATGAAACAATCATTATACCACTTAAAGAGTTTTGACAGAAAACCAGACCCAGAGCCTACTGCACACCCCACAGCTCCCAAACAGCAGAGTACTGGAACCAATGTTTCCCAGGAGCTACAATGTTTCCACACAGGAAGCAGGTTTCAACTGTAGCTTCTCTATTTCCTAGAGATAGTGCCCAACTCATGAAACCAATTTATAGCTTTTTAGTAGTGAATAAGTATTGCAGCAAGTCAGCATTTTGTACATTATATAAGAAAACAAATTATTCATTTTTATCTCAATAAGATAATGGCCATAAGACAAGGGGATTTTCTGAAAAGGAATAAAAAATCTAAAGAGAAACATTAAACCAATTTAAATGCTTGTATGTTCTGAGGAGTACAAGTAAATAACCCAAATTCAAAATATCTCCTCTTCCAATCCAGCCCTTATGTCATTCCAGGAAAGCCCTAAAAGCAAAGCTAAAAAGGTTACTTTTGAACTTCTGGAAAAAAAAAGTTAGAAAAGTGCTTATCTTCTCTCTTTGCCATCCCTAATCAGTGCTTGTTCTTAATGAGTATCTAAAATGCTATCTTGTTCTGCAAATTTTTCTTCCTTATTTCCTCATATAAAACTGACTACTTCTTCCTTACCCTTTGTTTTTGCCTTTTAAATGGATCAATCATGTTCATTTTTTAGTTAGTTCTGCATTATATGTATATTGGCTAATTTATCCATAAATTTTTGAGTGATACATTAATGGTTCATAATTTGGCATATACTATGAAACAATTTAGTGCATACAATATAACTGATCAATAATTGTATGTTACCTTAGTCAATTAATTAGTTAAATTGGCAAATAAGGGATGTTCATTTTTTTAACCATAAATCAATTACATTTAACCTTCATGAAAGAAGTTTTGATAGACTGATGGAAGAGATATCAGATTTCAATGGGTCAATGGGTAAATAGAGATGAATAAATAGACATAGGAAATATAAATCTCCCTTGAGAAACTTAATTGTTAAGAGAAATATAGAGCCTGGAAAAGATAATAGTACTATAAAAAATAGAAGTTGTTATTACTATTAAAAAATGAACTCTACAGACATTTCTCAAATATTCTTTTCTGTGAAAATATGCTCTCCTCATCCCCACAGCAAATGTGTCAGCTATGAGTCAGCATGGGAACTAAACAGCAGATGAGCTACTGAGTATATTAGAAAATTTAAGAAAAATAAATATCTGGAGTGACAGTAATAAAAGAGGTAGCAACCCTAAAGAAGCTCTCTTTTATTCTGAAATTTGCAAAGATAATATTCAAGTTCCACTACAGTATCTTTTTTTTTTTTTAATGATATAAAAGTTTCTGGTATTTAAGGAGCAAATTAGTTCAATATTGGTGTTTGCTCCAAAGCTCCTAAGTGGTACAAATGTAAAGTGTTTGGTTACTAGCCAAAAGGTGGGAAGTTGAAATCTACCCAGAGATTACTTGGAAAATAACCCTGGTGATCTGCTTCTGAAATATCACAACCTTGAAAAGCCTTTGTAAAAATTCTACTCAGCACATATGGGGTTCTCAGGAGTCAGAATTGACTCAATGGTAACTAATAACAACAAGCGGTAAACAACATACTAGTTTAGACCAGAATATCCTAAAAATATTTTTTCCTATTAATAGATACTGATTGAAGAACTGTTTAACCTCCAACAATTTCTAATTCTTAACACCATAGTTAAAGTATTCATTTGTTAATTGAGAAAATATTTTAGTACCTATTATGTCCTATGTACCATGCTAGGGACTAGCAGTCAAGAGTGAGCAATAAAATATGAAGACACAAGGCAAAATTGTGGTACCAAATAATGTGTAACCATCTTTGAGGGTACATGGTCAAAGAAGGTTTCATAGAGACCATTAAGCATGAAGCTATGTTATCAGATGTGAGTGATGGAAGTTTACCAGGTATAAAAGTGGAGGGAGGGGGGGTAGGAAAAGGACGAAAAAATAATCTAGCAATTTCAGAGGAAATCTTATAGGTTGGTGTTAAGATTACTAATGGTAAAACTAATCTTAATGAGACTGACGGACTCTAATTCTTCTGAAACCGGAAAAATGCTAGTGTGAGTCACACAGAATTCAGACAATCCTCATGATGCTGTTCTACCTTAAATATACCTCAGCATAATTTTCTGAGGATAAGTTAGGCTAAAGGAGAGTAGTGAAAGATTGAAGTATCAATGGACCAAGGATAAATGAAAAGATTTGCTAAAGAAACAAGGGTCTAGCGGAAGAAGACTACAGCAGCAAGACCAGGGAGTTCTCTTTAAAAGAATCCGAACCAACTTGGTAAAGAAATAGCACCCTGCATCAGATGGCATAACATTCTTCAGAAGTCTGAGTTCTCATACTGTTATTGATGGTTACCTGAAATGTTCACACTATTCACTTAGTTGCTTAAGGTGTTTTACTCCTCCATTAAAATGTCTGTTTTTGGTTGCTGTTGTTAGGTGCTGTGCAGTCGGTTTTGACTCATAGTGGTACTACATACAACAGAATGAAACATTGCCCAATCCTACACCATCCTCACAACTGTTACCATACTTAAGCCCATCATCACAACCACTGTGTCAATCCAGCTCTTTGAGAGTCTTCCTCTTTTCATCTGACCTCTACTTTACACAGCCTGTTATTGGTTAGGGATTGTCAAGTCAATTTTGACTGACAGCAGCCCCGTGTGACCAAGTCGAACTGTCCCACAGGGTTTTCTAGGCTATAATCTTTATGGCAACAGATTGCCAGATCTTTCTCCCACTGAGCCACTGGCTGGGTTTTAACTGACAATCTTTGTTTAGCAGCCAATCTCTTACCTGTTGTGACACCAAAGCTTCATCCTTTAAAATGTAAAAAGGGAAAATCCAGAAAATGATAGCAAATCAAAAGTGGTCCTCATATTTTGATTCCTCAACCAAATCCCCTAGATGAATATAGAAAAAAATAAAAGACAGAAACACACAATTATTGCAAAAGAGATGGAGATGATATCTTCTGACCTCCTCTAACTTCACAAGAGGAAGACAGAATCACCATTAGCAGTGCAAGGCTTATTCCTTCGAGTCCAGACATGACACCACCCTCCAGCCTTTTTATCAACTTTGACAGCAACCATCCCTCTCACGGTACTTACTACTTGTCTTTTGGGTTTGATTTGTTGCAATGACCACACAGAACTGCCAACCCTCATGATTAAGAGGAAGTAACAGGCTACAATTCAGGTTCAGGAATAAGCTCAGGATACAATTCTTTGATCAAGACTATTCCCTTCTGCTGTGCCCTCAGACATACTTCTCTGGTCCTTGGCCTCTTGGCCTGGCCTCTGTCTCTGTAGGCCAAGTAAGCCTGCTGGTCTGTCTTGTGCCTCTTGGTTCCACTGCCACCATATCTCTGACAGGGAGTCTCTAAGCCAAGGAGGTCCAGTGCAGGGATCTCAGGCCCAAAGACACACTCCACTTCACCTCCAGCTTTTCTCCCTTTGATGGCAGTGAGATCCCCTCTCTGCCTCTCCAAAACTAAACTCACTACTGTTGAGTTGTTTTCAACTCATAGTAACCCCTCCTTGGGTTTCCAACGTGATGTCTCTATAGAAGTAAATTGCCTAGTCTTCCATCTGAGAAGTGGTTGTTGGGTTTGAACTGCCAGCCATCTGATTATCAGTCAAATGCCTTAGGCACTATGTCTGTAGGAGGGCTCATTGTAAGCCTCACAGAGTGACAAAATTAACCAATCCTAACATCAGAGATCTACATACTTTATTTGCATGGTCCCACCCAGTAATCCAGTGAGAGTTACAAAGAGTATAGCTAGAAAATCCATACCAAATAATCCACTGCACTGCAAGTATGAAAAGAACAAGAAAGCATTCAATGACAACAATGCTTTGGAATCCTGAAAAAGATAAGTATTAAGTGAATTAATAGAGTAGAAGCAGTGGAAACTTAAGCTGATAGAATGGAAAGTTGAGAAAAAATGAACAAAATTATGCATTACAGAATAAAAGTTCCAGGAACTGATAGCACCTCTGGAACTGGAAGTAATTAAGAGCAAAATAAGATTGGTTTAAAGTTGTTGAGAAGAAATTAGACCCCTAGAATTCTCCCTCAGTTTTTGACTCCGGAAAACTATTGTCTTCTATTCCAACAGAATCCTGGAGATTTCTCAGCAGGTTTTTGGAGGGTTCAACTCTGGAGACTGTAACAGAGAGAATCAATACAAGGAGACAAAAGACTCATTGAAAACCTAGATACTCTGCTAAGAATAGTGAGATTGACTAGAATATGAAATGCTGAGCCCCACATAGCCCCACTTCCTCACCACCCTCTTCCTTCCTTTCCAGAACCCATAGGCAGACTTGTATTTTTCAGAAAAGGTATTGGAGGAGTCTGCTCTGGAGACATTGATGGGCCAAGATATTATTGCCAAAAGGTAATAATATCAGGGGATCCTAACAAAAAACCCACCTTGATTGCCTGCAGAGAAGATAAAATTTTATGAGCCCTGTTTTAGTTTGTCAGTGTTGTCATAAAAGAAATAACGCTGATGGATGACTTTACAGAACAGAAATTTATTTTCTCACATTTTTGAGGCCAAATCAGGATCTAGATTATGTTATTCCACCTATTCGCCTGTCTCCTACTTTCTGGTGACTGCCATGAATTCTTGTCATACCTTGTTCTTTGTTGTTCCTGGGGTATCTGCTGCCCCTTGGGTGTGCCTATTCTGTCCTTTTCATAACTCTGAAATTAACAGGTTTAGTACCCACTCTAACATAACAATAAAAGACCACATTAACATAACAAAACCACTATTTTCAAACAGAGTGATATTTACAGGTACAGGAGGTTAGAATTTCAACACATATTTGGGGAGTACACAATTCAATCAATAACAAGCTCTGACATATGCTGAGGTGTTCCCATCAAATTTTAATTTCCTATTCTAAATTATTATTGGAAAACTAAAGAATGTTAATACATCTGATGAAGTTCTCTAACCTGAAAGAAAGCAATGAAAACGAAAAAAAAAAATGGAGAAACAAAAAGGTGACTTGGAATAAACAAAGACTATAAAGGGAGGAAAAAAATTACATATATATATATATAGATATATATATGTATACTATAAGAGTGACAAGAAAGGATTTACCATCTACCAAGCAAGAATGGCATATGTTGAGGGGAGAAAAAAAAAAGTACTCAAGGAGAAAAAATGCTCTTGGAGGTTAAAAATATGATAAACCAAACCTGTTGCCATTGAGTCAATTCTGATTCATAGTGACTCTAAAGGACAGATTCAAACTCCCCTATAGGGTTTTTAAGGCTATGAAACTTCATGGAAGAAGACGGACACATCTTTCTCCCATAGAGCAGCTGATAGGTTCGAACCACTGACCTTTCAGTTAGAAGACAAATGCTTTAACCACTGCACCACCAAGACACTTCTGCAAAAAAGACAAGACAAATTAAAAATTAATATAATATAAATTTGAAGAAAACATAAACCAAAAATCCAAACCCACTGCCATGGATTCAGATCTGACTCATAGTGACCCCTCCTTGTGTTCTGAGGCAGTATCACTATGGAAGTAGCTTGCCCAATCTTCCTTCCAAGGATTGGCTGGTGGGTTTGAACTGCCAGCCTTCTGGTTAGCAGTCAAATGCCTTGGGCACTATACCATCAGAGCTCCCATATGCACACATAAATGTTTATAGCCATAGAAAGATAAAATAAATAAATAAACAAAGGATTTGTTTGTAATAGTTAATTAATACTAGGAGTTATAGAAAAAGAAAAGAAAGGAACAGAGGAAACAAAGAGGAAGGAAGACTCAAAGAAATAATTACTGAAATTTTTCAGGGATGAAAGGACCATATTTTCCAGATGGAAAAGGGCCATTGAGTACTCAACAGAATAAATAAATAAATAAAATTTGATCTTAAGTGAGACATATAACTGAAGTTTTAGGACAGTTGGACAAAAAAGTTATATATAACATTGATATTAGGAGCTCTGGTAGCATAGTGCCTAAGGCACTTGACTGCTAACCAGAAGGCTGGCGGTTCAAACCCACCAGTCACTCCTTGGAAGGAAGATGGGGCAATATACTTCCGTAGTGATACGCCTAGGAAACCCAAGGAGGGGTCGCTATGAGTCAGCTCTGGCTCGATGGCACATAACAACAACAACAATAATTCTTCATGTACTTAAAAAAATATATATGTTGTGACAGATCAAATGCAGAAATGGATAGAAAATACATTTTTGCTTAAGGCAGACGTTAAGAGACGTACCAAAGAATAAAACAATACCACTCTATTTATTAATTTTGTTTTGTTCTGAATATTAAAGTTATTTTTTGTAAAAATGTTACTTTCATTACCATGTAATAGCTACATAACTTGATTTTTAAATGAATTATAAATAAACTTTAAATTTCTTAGTTTTAATTTCCAACATGGTGAATATCAATAGATATAGAGAAAAGCACTTTGGGTCCACAATATTTTAAAGTAAGAGGTCCTGAGACTGAAAAATTTCTAAAGCATTGTTTTAGGGGAAGAAGGAAAATGAGGTCAGCAGTGTTTTTAAATAGTTTTTTTTTTTTTTTAATTGTGTTTCCTTTTAAATACCAAGTGCTATGGGAGCTCTGGTAGCATAGTGCCTAAGGCATTTGACTGCTAACCAGAAGGCTGGTGGTTCAAACCCACCAGCCACTCCTTAGAAGGAAGGTTGGGCAATCTGCTTCCATAGTGATACCACCTCAGAAACACAAGGAGGGTCGCTATGAGTCGGGGCCGACTCGACGGCACATAACAACAACAACAACAACAACAACATGGAGGTGTATAACCAATGATCAGTCCATTATCAGGAGCTCTGGTGGCATAGTGCCTAAGGCATTTGACTGC